GCCCTCAAAACCCTATCTCCTCATCCCTTACTCGCCTCAACCCTAAGCCCCCAAATCCCTAAATCCCTAAACCTTAAACCCCAAACCCCAAACCCTACACCCTATACCCTAAGGCCAATGTCCTTGAACCCGATGAGAGAGCAACCCTCAGCCCCAACCCTCAACCCTCCCCCAAAACACCAAACCTCCAAACCCCAACCCTAAACCCGAAACCCCAAAACCAAAAACAAACTGCACCCGATAGAGCTTCCTGGTCCCCAAGGCGCTGGGGACTTGTTCCAGCTCTGAGCATTTTGCCCTCACTCTTCGGAGCCTACGGGGCCCGTATCCCCGGCTGTGGGTTGGGGGTTAGGGTTTAGGGTTTAGGGTTTAGGGTTTAGGTTTAGGGTTTAGGGTTTAGGGTTTAGGAAACGGTTAGGGCTTAGGGCTTAGGGCTTGGCTTAGGGCGTAGGGCTTAGGGCTTAGGGCTTAGGGCTTAGGGCTTAGGGTTCAGGGTTCAGGGTTTAGGGTTAATTGGCGCGACCGTAAACCCCTGAAAGCTGTGGGGGTGGGTGAGTGGGGTGGCGGGGTGGAGGGCTTGGGGGGGGGGGGGGAGCGGGTTGGGGTTATACGAGAATTTAGGGTGAATTGAGGCTGGGTGTAGGGTAATTGGCAATTGGGGTCATGAGATTTTGTTGGGCTACGAGTAAACCTACATAATGCGTTGTTGATAATTGGGTTTGGGGTGGAGGTCGAAGTTGACTCGATTCATCTTGCGTGCCGCCTCCCCTACTGCACTGCAATGTCTTACAGCCTGAGTACACGAAGATTTCAGGGTCGTTTTGGTGAGGGCTTACCCTTTACTCTAGATGCATGGCATCCTATGTGGGAAACCTGAGTTTTGCGACGTAGGGTTGTGAGGCGAATCTGTGTACACCTATGAGGCCCTTACCACCATGAGCAGGTCTGACTTGCAGGACATACAGGACACCCTAAACCCTAAACCCTAAACCCTAAACCCTAAACCACAAACGGCGACCTGGAGTTGGAGTTGACTGGTGGCCCGTGCCCAGCAAGCGGCCCTTGTGTACCAAGACGTACTAACAAATCTTGCGCTGTTATTCTCGAACACTCAGTTGCCTTCTACAAACCCGAAAACCCTAAACTCTAAACCCTAAACCCTAAACCTGGAAGTGTTGAGCCTCCCTGGCAGCACCTTGCCGGTCTTCAAAGAAGCGCACGACTGACTCCCACAGACCTTGTCCCTTGCACCCCACAACTTTTTATCCCTAAACCAAAAAGACACCCTACCCTGCACCCTACACCCTACCGAAACCCCTAGACCCTAAAGACCAAACCCTAACCCTAAACCCCAAACCCTAAACTCCTATCGAAACCCCTAAACCCTAAACCCCAAACCCTAAACCCTAAACCGCAAACCCTGAACCCCTACAAATTGGCCAGACCTCGTGGGTGGTGGCGTCGCAACTTCTGGAAGAGATGCGGATGCCGGAGCCACAGGTTTGGGTTCGGGTTGGGGTTTATAGGCTTCAGGCTTCAGGGCTTCGGGTTTTGAAAACCTAAAAGGGTCTGTGTATACAGAAAATCTAGGATGCCCAGTAGTGCCCTTATTCCTTTTTGGGGGCTCTAGGTTCCCCTATAAACTCCTTTAAGCAAAAAAGGGGCACCCTTTTTAATCCTAGGTTCCTGGGCAACCAAGAAATGAATTTCTAAGTTTTAGTCACCAGGCTCAGACAGTTCTAGATGGCTGATTCTGGGCGCTTAGGGTTTGGGGGTTGAGAGGCCCCAAACAAGCCTATATGTCCCTTGCAATAGTTAAGCCAGCACTTTTCCTGGTACCGTTTCTTCAGGTCTTGAGTCCTTTACAAGCCCAAAGTGGTCATCTGCCTTCGTTTTTCAAGGGCAGGAGCTTAGTTTGGGAGGTTGTGCTAGAAGTAGTTTTCCCGCAACTCTGAAGCCTAACCCTAAACCCCCGAACTGATATATCCTATAAACCCTAAATCCCCAACTCTACGCCCTTAACCCTGACGCCTAAACCCCGAACTGATACTGTACACCCTACACATCCCTAAACCGCCAACCCAAACCCCTAAACCCTAAGCCCTAAACCCTAAACCCTAAACCCTAAACCCTAAACCCTAAACCCTAAACCCTAAACCCTGAACCCTGAACCCTGAACCCTGAACCCTGAACCCTGAACCCTGAACCCTGCAGCCTAGCTAGCTACAAGGCTAGGGCTCCAGACGACGGCCTCTTTCTACGACGGCGTGGTGGGGTTCCCTAGTTTAGGGTTTGGGGTTTGGGGTTTAGGGTTTAGGGTTTAGGGTTCATCCGAGGGCCGATTTGCCTGCCTAGTATAGACTTGGGCCCTAAAGCTACTTTGTGGGTGTTTCCCCAAATAGGGGTAGCCTGATAGAATATACCCACAAAATAGTAGAATCCTTATTATAGGAGCCCCCAAAAGGGTACCCCTATTTTCGGAAGCCTCCATATGGGAACCTCTTTGAAGGCCCAGGTACATGCTTTATATGGGCTTTGAAGGACCCTAAGAGCAGGGGGGGGGGGTCAAGGGAGGGTGCGAGAGAGCATTTTCGACACGGGCTAGGGCTTAGAGGGTTTATAGGGTTTGTAGAGTTTAGGGGGTTTCAAGGGTTTAGCCGGTTATTGGGTGCTTGTTGAGGCTCACTCAGGTCGTCTGGGGAATGTGGGGCCTACCACTCCCCTTGCTTAGGGCTCCAAAACCAGGTTTCTTTCTTTGCTAGGAGGTTCGTGGGTGCTTAAACGTAGGGGTACAAGTAAGGCAACTATGGTCATAACCTTGTTAAGGGGTGCAGGGTCTAGGGTGCAGGGGCTTTGTTCTCTAGGGCTTTAGGGCACGGTTTTAGGTTTGAAGGGCTCTAGGGCTCTAGGGCTTTGGGGGCTGTGGACGCACAATCTCTATGCTCTGTGCGACGGCAATGCTCAGGCACGAAGTAAATAGATAATAAGTAAATAAGTAAATAAATAAAATAAATAAATAAATATATATATATATCAAATCAACTTGCTGACCTTCAGAAGCAAGTTTCAACGGTACCAACTTACCTTCCTAGACTAAGAAGGTTCACAATGCTGGTGTTTACCAGCAGCCAGCACTTGCCTGGATTAAACAGGGCTCGCCGTTAAAATGCCAAATTTTGACATACTTCCTATGGAGACTCCTGTTCTCTCGATGGCCGTGTGTTTTTGCACTATCTGCAGGGACGCGCTTTTCGCTTCCTTCCGAATTCCTTGTCCCCATACCTTCACGTTACCTTCGCATGGCTACCTGAACAATCTCGATCAGGGCTGCATCGAATGCAGGATTGAGGTTTGTTTTCTGGCTTTGAAGGTTTGGTTTAGGCGTTGAGGTTTAGGGTTTAGGGTTTAGGGTTTAGGGTTTAGGGTTTAGGGTTTTGAGTTTTGGGTTTTGGGTTTTGGGTTTTGGGGTGTGCCTTTAAATCGGGTAGGCATGGGCAAAGGCAGAAAGCAGGCCGAGAGACCCAAGGTTGAGCTGGAAAAGCTTCTGCGAGCCCGAATCCCCGCATTGGCCCTGTAGAGCCCATGTGGAAATTGAGTAAATTGGGCACGGATAGTACACTGAGTGAGTATAGTATAAGTCGTGTCTAAAGTATAACCCTAAGGGTGCGTGTACCACATCATTATAAAGCACAGGAAGCACTTTGAGGCACATGCATTCCCTAATTGGCTATTTCGGTGCCCTTAAACCCTAATTCCTAAACCCTAAACCCGAAACCCCTAAAACCCTACACGACTCTTTTTTTGTTGAATCGGCCCCTCCGCCAGGCATATGCATTTGCCTCGCGCCTGGAGCCAAATTGGACAGGGAAGCGAGCACCTTCTTTAGGGAGCAAATCCCAAAGGGCCCATGTACCCTTGGTAGGATAAGGGGGGGACCAAAAAAGGGAGCCCTTCTTAACCCTCTTCTGGCTCTCTTCAACAGGGACCTTATTCAGAGGGTCTACATCCCCAAGGGTCCCCCTAATCCTATTCCCTACACTGTACCTATACAGCATATACTTGGGCCTTAAAGGGGTTCCTGTATAGTGGCTTTCGGGCCCAGGTCAATATTTTATCGGTACATGGATCCTTAGGGAATGAGCCCTAAAAGGGTTTAGGGCTCATATACCTCTGCATTATAGTAGCATCCCTAAACCCTATAAACTCTAGGCCCTAAACCCTCTAGCCCCTGAATCCTGGACCAACACCCTAAGGCCTAAGCCCCTGAATCCTAAACCCCAAACGCTCTCCGAAGGCACCCGGAACTTTCCAACCTTAGCCCGACGGTGTTTTTGGGGGTTGCTGCCGTTTAGTTGGTGCACCGTTTCTGCATCATAGGGCGTCCGAAGCTCCACTTACTTCTCCACCAGCTGAACTTTGAAACTTTTTGGGTTTTCTTATTTGGTAGGAATAATAAAGTTCAACTTTTTCCCCTTGGTTATTGGAGAAGGTAGTCCATGTTTCATGTACATCTTGCGTGACCAGCCGTTTCTACATCACAGGGCTTGTGTGGGTGTACGGGTATGGCCTGGCAGTGATGTTGGATTTAGTGTGTAGGGTTTAGGTTTTGTCGTCACACTCTAGACATTTAAAATGAAGCCCCAAAACACGTGCCTGGAGTTGTCCTTCCTGACATGTATCGGCGGATCGATTCTCTACGTGCGTAATTTCATGGCCGCCATTCGGTGAGTGCGGTTTAAAGTATGCAATACATTGCACGCCTACCGCGTGCTGTTCTTGTTCTTGTGGTCTTGCTTGACAGCTTGCCGAATTGGACTCTAGGGAAGCTATTGCTGTCTTCACCATTTCTCGACTTGCTCAGTTCAGCCACTATGGTCCAAAGCACGGCTGATACAACCGCCGTGCGCGAATCTGTCACGAGCTATTCTGCTGTCATCGTCACGCAGGGTCGTGCAAGCCAATGGCCCCAAGCACTTCGACTGCTGAGCGACTGGGAAGCCATGCGCGGCGAGAAGGATGTGGTAATCTACAGTGCGGTCACTTAGGCATACTTGGGAATAATTCTTAATCTTTGGGTGCTATAATCCCTAAGAAATAGCAACAAACTATAGTTTTTGCCAGTGTTCCAAGTTCAGTTGAGGTCATCAGTGCTTGCGAGAAAGGGCTTCAGTGGGAACTGGCTCTGGCGTTGTTAGCAGAACTTGTCGAGGAAGAGCTCCAAAGCAACATTGTTACATGCAGCTCGGCCATCAGTGCGTGTGAGACGCTAGGCAGGACAGTGGGAGTTGTCATAGTTGCCCTATTCTTTATTTGAGAACTTTTTTCCAGAGTGTCCTGAACTCAACTCTAAACCCTGAACCCTAATCCCTCAACCCTAGTTAAGGGGGTCCAGCCGAGGAAGGGTGGCCAGTGGCAGCGTGCTGGGGCCCTTTTGTCGGAGCTCGCAGAGGAAGGCCTGCGAGCCAATGTGTTCCTTGGAGACGAAACAGGGTTGATGGTCCAGGGTTTGGGAGCTCAGGGTTTAGAGAGAGCTAGGGGTTTCAGGGTTCAGGATGCAGGGAGAGTAGGCCCTTATTCCCTTATTTTGTGGCTTAGGTTCTCTTCTAGGCCCCTTGTTGGGAAAAAACAGGGTAGCCTTTGCATTCCTAGCCTACTCTTAGGTCTAGGACATTAGGGATTACAGTGGGCTCAAGTTATGTGGTCTCAAAAAGAGGGTTTACCCAACCCTAAACCCTAAACCCTACACCGCAAACATAAATGTGTCATGGGCCCTGAATATGGCCCCTTACCTCCTTTGAAGGATTCTGAAGTATGGGTCCTTGGGGGTTGTATATAAGGGGTGCCCTTTTAAGGGGCGCAGACTAAGGGACCCGTGTAACTACCCTTAGAGACTACACCCTAAACCCTAAACCCTAAACCCTAAAGTTTAGGCCCTAAAGCATATGGTCCCTAAGGTTCACTTACAGCTCAGTCCTCGGCGCCTATGGCAAGAGCGAGCAATGGCAAGAAGCTCTGTACACTTTCAAAGACATTCAGGACTCTGGGTTTACTCTTGGGCATGAAATGTCTTGGCTTTAGGGTTTCGGGTTTAGGGCTTAGGGTTGAGGGTTCTGGGTATAGCCCTAAACTCTAAACTCTACACTAGACACTACTATCATCCGTGGTAAGGTGTGGACCTTACCCCTTGAAAAGCTCATTTAGGTCTTCAAGATGTTCGTTGTACACATGACAAAGCCCAGGCAAGTGTCGGCCAAAGCGACACCCAACATCGGAGGGCTTCCCTCCACGACAGGGTTTAGGGTTTAGGGTTTAGGGGTTAGGGTTTATGGTTTGTTTAGGCCCCCTCCCCCCCCCCCCCCCAAAAAAAAAAAAAAAACAAAAAAACGACCCCACAGACCCTGCGGATTGGGTTTACGGCTTAGGGGTTTACAGCGTCCAGAGTCCAGGGTTAAACCCTAATTCTCGAAACCCTAATCATATCCGGGACTGAAGGGGTTAGGAAAACAAGATAAAAGGGTCCCTTCTAGGGGTCCTCCCCCTGACGAACCGGGCTTGGAGGACCGGCTCGTGCGGACCAATGTCACTGGGTCATTGTTGAAAATCGCTTTACATGTTTTATGAGCACTTAGACCCAATCAGGAACCAAAATGATCATGTCCCCAAACCCTAAACCCGAAACCCTAAACCCTACACGCTAGACACCGAAAAGAGGTCATTGGGGTCGTTAAAAAAACCCCTAAACCCTAAACCCTAAACCCTAAAACACAACAATGGTGCAGGTCATCGTCTACAATGCGGCGACCTCGGCGTGCGAGCGGGGCAGCCAATGGAAGACAGCGCTGATGCTGTTGGAAGCGAGCCAGGGCGAGGCTTATAGGGTTTAGGGTTTAGGGTTTAGGGTTTAGGGTTTAGGGTTTAGGGTCCAGGGTGACATCCTACGCCCCAACAGCCCGAGAGCAAGCCACAGCCCTCAACCGCTCTTTGCAGGGTCACGGAGTTCAGGCCTAAGGCTCTTTCAAAAGACCACAATGGCGTCTTTAGGGTTTAGGGGTTACAGGTTTAGGGTTTAGGGTCATAGGGTTTAGGGTCAAAGGGTGTAGGGTTTGTAGGGTTTACAGGCTTTGTTCTTTGTACTGAATTTATGGGATTCGCAGGGTTTATGAGGCTCAGGGTCTAGAATCTTAGATTTGCAACAAATCTCCGCAAAGGAATCCCAAAGCCGACGTCATCTCACACAACGCCGCCCTGAGCGCGCTTGAGAACCTCGATTCCTTAAAGTGGGATGGGGTCGGGGTTCGGGGGTTAGGCTTTCAGAGGCTTCTAGGCTTATAGGGTTTAGGGTTTCGGGTTTGGGGTTTTTCAGTATTCTATGCAACCTGTATCCTCAAGATGTGAGACTTCGGTGGAGCGTCACACCTGCAGAAGACTGAATCCCGGAGCTTTGTAGGCTTTCGGCCCCAAACCCTAAGCCCAAAGCCTTAAACCCTACACAAAACCCGAGCCCTAAACTCCATACAGCTCTAGTTAATTAAACCCCCTAAAGCCTCAACCCTAAACCCTCCTGTGCGCCAAGCCTCCAGCTCCTGACCCCTGTGTCTTCATGGTGCTGTTCCCTGCAATCAGTACCCAAACGCATGGAAAGCAACCCTTCCCGCCCCAACCTTAAACCCTAAACCCTACACCCTAAGCCCTACTAGACGGGTTTCGGCTTAGGATCCTCATGCTCATGTTGTGTTCTTTGATATCTGTGCAGAGTGGTGGCCCTAAGTCCTTTTGACTTGGAACCCGGGCCCTACTGTAGGGGTCGGAGTAATTACTGAATTCATTCCCCTATGGTCCCTTTAGCACATCGCGACAAGGAGCAGAGCAATCGCAGCCTGAACCCTAGACCCAGTCCTTCGAAGTACCTTAAGTCCCACCACCCTCATCCCTGAACCCCTAGACCGTTCTGAGCTCCGCCCCCCAAAGCTTACTATAGGTGGCGGAATATGTACCAATATTATTCCCTTATGGTCCCTACATAGAATTATACTACAATGACACCCCAAAGCCCGATTCTGAATTGTTAAGGCGCCTATGTTGGGGTCCTGTTCCCTTTTTTAGGGTGCGGGTTCCCTTATAGCCCCTTTCAAACCACGAAGGGCACCCTTTTTATTGCTGTACTTCTATTATGCCCTTCTGGTCCCTTCATATAATTATATTATAATGACCCCCAAAGCCCTATTCTAATTACTAAGGCCCCTATACCTAAACCCTAAACCCTGGACCCTTAACTCTAAACCCTATTCCAATTATTAAGGCGCCAAAAGTGAACTCAGCAACTAAGTAGTAAACCCTAAACCCTAAACCCTAAACCCTAAACCCTAAACCCTAAACCCTAAACCCTAAACCCTAAACCCTAAACCCTAAACACACCCCCCCCCCCTGGCCTTAAAGCCCACACCCTTGAGGTAACCTAAACCCTAAACCCTAAACCCTAAACCCTAAACCCTAAACCCTAAACCCTAAACCCTAAACCCTAAACCCTAAACCCTAAACCCTAAAACCCCCCCCCCCCCCCCCCCCCCCCCTCCCCGGCCTTGAAGACCACACCCTTGAAGTAACCTAAACCCTAAACCCTAAACCCTAAAACGCCCCACCCTTGAAGTAACTTAAACCCTAAACCCGAAACCCTAAACCCGAAACCCTAAACCCTAAACTCCCAAGTCCAGGAAGTCGACCCACTGGCAGCATGCCCTCAGCCTGTTCAGCGAGGCAATCGATGCAGGAAGCTCGGCTGCAAAGCAAAGGTAAGGTTAAGGGGTTTAGGGTTTAGGGTTTAGGATTTAGGGTTTAGGGATTTGGGGATTTAGGGATTTAGGGGTTTAGGGTTTAGGGTTTCGGGTTTAGGGATTTAGGAGTTGTGTCGAAGTTGCGCACCTCCCCAATCCTTCAGGACATATCGGCGGATGGAGCGTGTAAACCCTCATTTCCGGCGTCTTCATGTTGAAACCATGTCACATACCCGAACAAGGCGAATGTACTCATGTCAATGCTAGTGTTCTGCCAGACAGCCGAGTAAACCTAAAAGCCCTAGCAAACATTCGTCCCTTTCCTGGATGGTTCAGGGACCACAGGTGTTTTTTTGAGTCGTGGGAGTGCCCTAAACCCTAAACCCGCAACCCTAAACCCCACGGAGACCAAATAAGCGGCTTCAACCCGGACCTCAAGCCTTGACACCTAAAGCCACGAACCCTAAACAAAATATCTTAAGCAGCGTTGGTCCCTAAAGCTACGACTCCGCGCGCGAGACGTTAAAGCAACTGCCTAGACAACCCCAGCTGAGCGGTTTAGGGTTTACAGGGTTTAGGGTCTAGGGTTTAGGGTTTAGGGTCTAGGGATGTTCCTGAATTCTTGGGGGTCTTCTGCTAAGGTATGGTATATCTTGTAATCAGAGACGCGACTCGCCCGGAATTAAGAAACGCTCCTTAAAACACATTCGGATCTCAAGTAGAATTTCAGGAATATTCCCCTGAGTAAGGGAAATTGGAGTCTCTGGAACCCTAGACTAAATCCTAAACCCTTCACCAACGAGGCCTCCAATATGGCATCCTTACAGTGCCCTCCCGAAACCCTAAACCCGAAACCCTAAACCCTAAACCCTAAACCCTGAAGGGCTTCGACCGACAGTCGTCACCCACAACGCTGTCCTCAGCGCATTGGGAAGCGGCGGGCAATGGGAGAGCGCGCCCCTGGTCTTTGGGTTCAGGGATTCCTAAGCCCTATAAGCCCTAAACCCTCAACCCCAAACCCTAAACCCTGAACCCTAAACCCTAAACCCTGAACCCTAAACCCTAAACCCTAAGCCCGATGGGGTGTAGGATGGGTGAGGGTTTAGGGCTCAGGGTTTGGTGTTTGGGGGGATGGAGGCCGGTCTTCGGCCCATGGGCTTTCACAGGAGTGTTGGTAGTGTGGTTCAGGGTTTAGGGTTTAGGGTTTAGGGTTTAGGGTTTAGGGTTTAGGGTTTAGGGTTTAGGGTTTACTACCCCGCCCTAGGTTCCCACCTTAAATAAGGTGCTGATGGTGTTGGGGTACAATGTTTTCATATTTGGATACGAACAGCAATTTTTGCAAGGGTTCTATCAGTAAAGAAACCCTCAAACCCTAAACAGCGCAGCAGGGCATTCCCTGAGTTGGTTTCCTGCTGCTGACAGTCTGACAAGGGCACGTAAACCTAAACCCCAAACCCCAAACCCCAAACCCCAAACCCCAAACCCCAAACCCCAAACCCCAAACCCCAAGCCCCAAGCCCCAAGCCCCAAACCCCAAACCCCAAACCCCAAACCCCAAACCCTAAACCCTAAACCCTAAACCCTACCAAAATCCCTGAAGCGAATCAAGTTTTACCTACTGGCTGAGTCGTGAACCATGTGAAGCTCAAAGGAGTACGATTTAGGATTTAGGGTGTAGGGTAACTATACTGTTTGCTTAAGAAGCCCCCAAAAAGGAAGTATTCATCCCTAGATTACCCTTGTAAGGAAGAATATGTATAGTGTGGGTCATTGTTGAGGGCTTAGGGTTTAGGCTTTATTGGCTTTCGGGTTTAGGGTTCAGGGTGCAGCCTTTTTTCTTTTCAGAGGTTGCTGGAGAACTTAGTTGCTGAGGCTTCACATCCTCGAGAGACTCGCGAAGCAGCATCTGCAGAGCAGCGTGGTGACATGGAATTCGGCCATCACTGCGGCCTGGACTCCCATGTACGACTGATGGTTTAGGATTTAGATGCTAAACCCCAAACCCCTAACCCTAAACCCTAAGCCCTAAATTTAGGGCCTTCGTCCCTGCGTCCCGAACTCTTTGAACCCCTGACGTGCTGAACCCGGACGCTCCGCACGGCACGATCTCCCAAAGCCCGGCATACAGACAGAAAGCTGATCGCACCTCCCCCCCCCCACCCTTCCCCCGACAAAAACGCAGGAAAGCCCTCAGCAAAACGCCACATCGAGCCCCTTGTTCTTGATACAAAGGGAGGTGCAGCCCAAACCGAGCCGTGAAAGCTCCCAAGGGTCTGGAGTAGCCCGGTAAATGTCCTGAAGGAACACGAAAGGGTGACCATGCCCAATATTTTAGGTACATGTGCTCACCCCTACCGGTCGATGGTGCTGCGTAGGGAAATCCTGGCTGCAGACCCCATATATGCGCAACCAAATATGTATAAATATATATATATATATGTATATGTGGTTATATACATATATATGTATTTCTGTATTCATGTGATCTTGTTTTCCCTAAACCAAGATCCCCCAACCCTAAAATCTCCACATCCTCAACACCCTAAAGCCCGAACCATCGAAATGACAGGAAAACAAAATCAAACCTTAAGACCCCAGAAGCTCAAACCTCAGCCCAGAAGCCTCAGACCCCACCCCCACAAGCCCAAAGCCAACAACAACCCTAAACCCTAGTGTTCACTTGCCTAACCCCCAACCCCACCAATCTGACCATTGACAACACCCTCATAAGCCCAATTCTTGCGAAACCCTCATAGAACCTTCACGGATCCTTGAGACATCCCTTCATAGATCCCTTATAGAAGTCTTTGATAAAACAGTTATAAGTTATATCCCTAAATCCCTTATACAACCCTGCCAGGCCCTTACACAAAGCTTCTAAAACCCTGAAAATACACACAAATCCCTGAATCCTAAACCACTAAACTCCCCAAACCCTAAACCCCAAACCCTAAACCCCAAACCCTAAACCCCAAACCCTAAACCCTAAAACCTAAACCCTAAACCCCAAACCCTAAACCCCAAACCCTAAACCCTAAACCCCAAACCTTTTGTCCCTCTGAGGCCTGCGAGAAGGGAGACCAGTGGCAACGAGCGGTGCACCTCCTCAGGGAGATGCAGGAGGGGTTTAGGGTTTAGGGTTTAGGGTGTAGGGTTCAGGGTTCAGGGTGTAGGGTTTGGGGCTTGGGGCTTGGGAGTTTAGTGGTTTTGGACTTTGGGCTGTAGGGTTTTAAGGCTGCAGAGCTTGCGATTTTGAAGTTTGCGGTTGAAGGATCTTTGGCAACGGCGCCAGTCTTCCTAGCCACTTTGCCGTTGCAAAAATCTGTGCATGATAGGTGAGCGTAAAGGTTACTACCCTAAACCCTAAACCCTAAACCCTAAACCCTAAACCCTAAACCCTAAACCCTAAACCACAGGGTGTAAGGCTCAGGGTTGCCTGGAAGACGCTGCCAGCGTGATAGAGGCTACGGAAGCAGTCTAGGATCTATGTCGCAGGGCTTAGGGTTTAGGGTTTAGGGTGTAGGGTTTTTTGGTTTAGGGTTTAGGGTCTGGGTTTAGGGTCTGGGTTTAGGGTTTAGGGTTTAGGGTTTAGGGTTTGGGGTTTAGGGTTTAGGGTTCAGGGTTCAGGGTTCAGGGTTTAGGGTTAAGGGTTTAGGGTTTAGGGTTTAAGGTTTAGGGCTTAGGGCTTAGGGTTTAGGGTTTAGGGTTTAGGGCTGCAGTAGAGTTAGACTTTAGAGGGGGTTTAGGGCTGAGGGTTAGGGAAATGCAGATGGCCTCAGCAGTGGGCCCAACAACTGGCGAACAGGGTAGGTTTCAGGGACCTGAACTCTAAACCCTAACCCTAAACCCTAGACCCTAGACCCTAGACCCTAAACCCTAAACCCTAAACCCTAAACCCTAAACCCTAAACCCTAAACCTAAACCCTAAACCCTTCGGGCGAAGAGGTGTGAGGCTTGGACCCCAGGAGTCGTGACTGCCAAGTCCCTTGTTGAGCGGGCACTTTGAGGTCTACGGCTCGGGTTTAGGGTTTAGGGTTTAGGGTTTAGGGTTTAGGGTTTAGGGTTTAGGGTTAAGTGTTTAGGGTTTAGGGTTTAGGGTTTAGGGTTAAGTGTTTAGGGCTTAGGGTCTAAGATTTAGGGTTTGGGGTTTAGGTTTAGGGTTAAGTCTTTAGGGTTTAGGGTTTAGTTTAGGGTTAAGTGTTTAGGGTTTAGGGTTTTTGGAAAACACCGGCTACGCAAAAAAAAATGTCATCTCATGATCTCAAGATGATTAGCGCTTCAGCTACCCACGATGGCCAATAACTCTCATGCTATGTAGCCAGGGCAGCATAAATGGACCGGTGGGTGCAGGATGGAGGGCTTCTAGGGCTTAGGGTTGAGGTTCTAGGGCTTAGGGCTTTAAACCCTAAACCCTAAACCCTTAACCCTAAACCCTAAACCCTAAACCGAGGTTCTAGGGTTTAGGGCATGATTGGCAACCGCTTTGAAGTAGTACAGGAGCCTAGAAAATTAGCAAGATCGTCCTGCTCTATCCCCTACAACCAGAATAGAAGCTACTGAAAGTTACCCATTCTAAGGTGACTAGGCCCTTCATGTTCAGGAGAGAAGCGTGCGCAGCAGCATCATCTCCTGCAACTCCGCCACCTGGCCTTCTGTGGATACACAATTGGGGGCTGTATGGGGCTCCGCTCAGGGAACAGAGGGAATTTCTCTTGTTCTCTTCGCTCGGCTGGAGTGTTTAAGAATGAAGGCCGGCTGCACGCATCATGGCTGTCCGTCCTGTCAAAATGGTTCTTAGACATGTACCCTCAGACGTTGCGCTTCGAATGTATGAACAAGGAACTGCGACCTTCAGCCCTAAACCCTAAATGCTAACCCTAAACCCTGAACCCTAAACCCCTAAACCCCTAAACCCCTAAACCCCTAAACCCCTAAACCCCTAAACCCCTAAACCCCTAAACCCCTAAACCCTAAGCCCAAAAAACCCTAAACCCTAAACCCTAAACCCTGAACCCTAAACCCTAAGCCCTACACCTTCCCTGCATGGAATGTACTCTCAGCTTACCCTCGAGAGGGTATTGGGCACCCATGGGCTCCTTTGGAAAGCCCAAAGGTATAGGCCTTAGCAGACTTTACCCTTCCCCTTTTCGTGAGTTGAAGAGGATCATAAGTCAGGATGTTTTTGAGAGAGTTTCAAAGAACAACCTGGTCCTTGATTGGGGAGGTTGGTGGAATTCTGAACTGCGACTGCGTGCTGCAACCTCAATCCTGTCTGTGTGCAGTTTTTTAGATCAGGTGTTTGGGGCTTAGGCTCTCAGAAGACCCTAGACCCTGAGCCCTAAACCCTAAACCCTAACCCTAAACCCTAAACCCTACTTAGTATTCATTTCGGGTCATCATGAGCCCCCCCCCCACCCCTTCCCACAGACTCGAATACCCATGGGGAAGTTTTCCCTTGAGCGATCCCTCTCGCATCTTCTGGCTTAAAGCTCTGCAGGCCTCAATCCCTGCAACCCTAACTAGGGCTTAGGGTTTAGGGTTTAGGGTTTAGGGTTTAGGGTTTAGGGTTTAGGGTTTAGGGTTTAGGGTTTAGGGTTTAGGGTTTAGGGTTTAGGGTTTCAGGCTTTAGGGTTTCAAAGGGCTACTGAAGCTTCTGTACCCAAGGTGTATTGTAGTCACTAGTCACTCTCCAATGGATCAGACTTGAGGCCATCAGTGCATGCGAGCGCGGGGAGCGATGGGAATGGGCAGCTTGCTGGCAAGGAGCCTTATCCCCCAGGCGCTCCACCCTTGTTATGGTTACACCCAAAACCCTACAAAACCGAAACCATAAACCCTAAACCCCAAACCCTAAACCCCTACACCCCAAGCCCTAAACCCCAAACCCTAAACCCTAAACCCCTAAAACCCCAAGCCTAAACCCTGAGCCCCAAATCCTAAACCCGAAACCCTAAACCCGAAACCCTAAACCCTAAACCCCAAACCCCAAACCCCAAACCCTAAACGCCAAGCCTTACACCCCAAGCCCTAAATCCTAAACCCTAGACCTTAAACCCCAAACATCCCAAACCCTAAGCCCCAAGCACTTAGGGTTAAGGTAGCATTAGGGTTAAGGGTGTGGCCCGGGTTTACTGCGCAGGGCCTAGGGTTTAGCTGTATAGAGTTTCAAGGCTTCGGTTTCAAGATGCAGCCGAAAAAACGACTGGATTCTCTGGGTAGGTGAGTACTTCTCCATCACAATATGAAAAAGCTCGACATGAGCTGCTGAACCCTAAACCCTACACCCCAAACCCCAAACCCCAAACCCCAAACCCTAAACCCTAAACCCTAAACCCTAAACCCTAAACCCACCCGAAACCCTAAGCCCCTAAGGCGCTTGATCTCCTCCGAGAGATCCCGCGGAGCCAGCTTTCGGCGGATGCACCCTGGCTCGAGTTTTAGGGCATTTGGGTTTGTGGGGTTTAGGGTGTAGGGTTTAGGGGCTGTAGGGGTTTGAGGGTTTTTGGGGGGTTTTAGGGTTTAGGGTTTTGGGGTTTTAGGGGTTTTAGGGGTTTGAGGGGTTTGAGGGTTTTAGGGGTTTGGGGTTGGGGGTTCAGGGTTTTAGGGTTCGGGTTTCAGGGTTCAGGAATTTTGGGTTTAGGGCTTCGGGGTTTTATCGCTTTAGGGCTTGGATGTGAGGCTTTGAAGTTTCAGGATCAGGGTTACCAGACCATTCGCATTTCAGAACCCTGAACCCTTGGTACCCCTGTCGCCCAAGACTCCTTCTGAGTATTCTCATGGTGCCGAAGCCAGGTCACAACGCAGTGCCGGTTCCTACTATTTGCTTAAGAACCCCCCCCCCCCCAAACAAAAAAAACAAAAAATCCCGACATTGCTCTTGTAAGGAAGATGTTTTTGTTTTTTTTTTTCGGGCGGGTTCTTAAGGGTATAGTAAACCCTAACCCTAAACCCGAAACTAAGCCTTAAGACCCAGCAGCGAGCCAGAATGAGTCTGAGGTCATCTCCTTCAACGCCGCCATCAGCGCCTGCGAGAAAGGGCAGCAGTGGCAACGTGCCCTGCTGCGCCTGGGCTTTCCCTAAACCCTAAACCCTAAACCCAAAACCCTGAGCCCTAAACCCTAAACACTCGAAAGCCTAAACCCCAAACAGTGTCCCGAAACCGCAAACTCTAAGCCCTGGACCCTGAGCCTGAGCTCTAAACCCTACGCTCTAAACCCTAAACCCTAAACCCTAAATCGTGTGAAACCCTAAATTAAGCCCCCCCTTGCCTCCCCCAATCGATTCCCAGTTTGGCGGTCTCAGGCTTCTCAACGAACTTCAAGCCTGTGACTTCCAGGGAACTGCACCTGGCCAGCAAAGAGGTGGTTTAGGGTTTAGGGTTTAGGGTCTAGGGTTTAGGGTTTAGGGTTTACCCGGACCCTCTGTGTACGCGAAAAAATGGCCACAAGCCAAACTTACACCAAAAACAAAAAAGATTCTCAAAAACAAGCATTTTTGATCAAAACAGCCATGACAAACAAAAACAGCCTTTTTCCTATTGAGGGCACGCGCGTCCACATGCAAAGCAAGACAATGCTTCAGGGTTTCTTCTTCGTAGCGCATGTCAACCAAAGGTTTGCTTCTGATGCCATGACAATCGGAAGCTGCAGGTCAGGGTTCTCGGCTGTTTCAGCGAGACAAGAAACGAATTCCGGCAAATTCCGCCTTTTTCCGGCTAATTCCGCCTTTTTTCCGGCCATTTCCGCCTTTTCCTTCAGGCTTTCATGGCTTGGCTTCAGGCTTGCGTGTTTTTTGAGTTTGCAAATTCAGGGTTTCTGCTTGTGGCTTCAGGCTTTCGTTGCTTCAACAAGCAAGAATCCGCAGAACACGTAGCAAGCAAACGTCCTCGAGTTGAACACCGTCACAAATGTCAAAATAGCCTTTTTTGGGCTGCCTAGCCAAATTCCGCCCCACGGGCTGTTTTTGGGTCCATGTCTTGAAAAAGGCTGTTTTTATGGAAAGGCTGTTTTTTCACGTAATTTGAAGGCTCCAGGTAGGGTTTAGGGGTTTAGGGTTTAGGGTGGCCTCGGGCTTCGGGCTTGCGGCTTGCGGCTTAGGATTTCGAAGTTTCAGGGTTTGGAGTTGGGACGTTCCCCCTTATACAGTCCTTATAGGGATCATAGTAGGGGGAACGAGAATCCCGATGAAGGACTGTCAGTAAAAGGGGGAACATCCCAAGTTAGGAGGTTAAGGGGGTTGAGGGTTCGTTGGGTTTCGGGGTGCCGTATAGGAATTGGGGTCTATAAGGTGCAGAGTGAACTGAAGGTGGGGTAGTGGAAGTTTTCCGGGTTCAACGGCTTGGGGTGCTCTCGGCCTACGGGGGTTCAGGATTTGGGCGTCTTGAGGTTGAGGGTTTTGGGGCGTGGGAGTCTCTAACCTCTACAAACCCCTTGCATAAACTAAGGTTTAGTGTCTAAACCCGAAAAACCTTTACATAAACCCTTGTACAAGCCCGAAAAGAAGGAGACTCTGTACTATCCTAGGAGTTTCAAGGGTTCCAGAAGCCTACATGTCGAAGTTCGGCTATACAGGTACCTCTATCCTACAAGCCGGAATTCTTCTTGGAGTTTAGGGTTTAGCGTTTAGGGGTTTCACTTAAGCCCGAAAGCCCAATCATCAGGGGTAGGTATTCTGCTTGCTGTTCTGTAGGGCAGGCAGGTTCCATGGCATTCCGACTTCCCGCCCTGCCCAAACTCCTCAACTTACCCGGAACCCCCTAAAACCTAAACCCTAAACCCTAATCCCTGAACCCTAGACCCTGAGGGGGTCTGAGTCGGGTGCACCTGCCGTGAGGTGATTACTTACAGTGCGGCCATCAGTGCAGTGGAGAAAGGCGGGCTTGCACATGTAGCCATTTCGGGTTTAGGGTTTAGGGTTTAGGGTTTCCAGGGACCTCATAGTTAGGTTACTAGAACCCTAAAGGACTCAGTTTTTAGGTCCCTGGAAGTATAGGGCATGTAGCCATTTCGGGTTCCGGGTTTTGGGGTTTCAGGTTTCATGGTTTGTTGTGGCTGTGGTGGATATCAGTACGCCGAATAATTCTGTTCACGGTGTATACAGGAGTGTCTTAGGGGATATACATCCAACGATGGTTCGCCTGACTTATCGGTGCCTTTGTAGACTGGATACGGACGAGCACGAGATGTGGGGCGAATTCATGCGGATCCGCAGAAAGCTGCCACCTAAACACTGAACCCTGAACTCACCCCCACAACCCCCCCCACAACCCCCCCCACAACCCCCCCCACAACCCCCCCCACAACCCCCCCCCCACAACCCCCCCACAACCACCCCCACAACCCCCCCCCACCCCATCCCCCCCCCCCCCCCCCCCCCACTCTGCTGACTCAAGCTGCAGCACCTACGCCAGTCAGTCCGAGGACGGATGTTGCACCGATGACCCCCGGTTATCTTTTTTCCCCTGACCTTCACATCTCCTTCCCTGAGCACCTCATATCAAGTATTCCGTATTCTCCAAAATACAGTCAGAACGCTACCATCAGAATATGTGGTGCAAGGGTGTATAGAGGTTTACACGCTCCAGGAAGCCAGTGGCAGCAGGCTGTGCAGCTGTGTCTCAGCTCAAGATCCAGAGTTGGGTTTAGGGTTTCGAACACCAAACTTTGGGGTTGAGGGTCCATGCAAGCATACGGTAGTTGTTTAAAGTCAAGCTGGTAGGTACCGCGGAGGCCATCACTTGCCAGCAGCCTTGCATCTTTTTCTGAGGAATCCATGTAGATAGTCCAACCCACCCTCCCCCGCACCCCGACCCCAACCCACTCGGCCCTCCGACCCCAGTGGGTTTAGGGTTTAAAGAGTAGTGTAGGGCAGGTACAAGCCTCGAGGCGGGTTTAGGGTTTAGTGTTCTGCGGTTTTGTTTTTTCTGGGGGTTAAAGGTCTCTTCTATGGGTCCCTCTAGCCAGCGGATCCCTTTTCCGGAACCCTTCCCAGTGGTGTCGAGCAAGGTCGGCTCAAGCTGGGCTTTGAATCCCCTAGCCTTTAGCGAACATAACCAAGCAATGAGGCCTAAACCCTCTCTAACCTTCACTTATGTTTTCGGACCTAGACCCTATAAACCGTAGACTCTAAGCCCAACACCCTCAAGACAACAGGAATATGAGTTGTATGCATTTCAACATGAGCAGCTCGTGACTTCGTTCTGAAAAAATGAGTGTCCCTTTCAGCAAACTGTCGGTCAAACTTTCGGTCAAATCGTTTCGGTCAAAACATGTCGGTGGGCCAACTTCCACAGACCCTAAACCGTAAACCCTAAACCCAAATCTCCTCATGACATGGAGAAACCCAAGCTCAGACCTGGTATGTTTCAAAGAAATATCCTTAAACCCTAAACCCTTTCTGACTCGGAAAGGCTGGCACAGCTTCCTCGGAGGCACGTGCGCAGCAACGTGACCTGCCTGCCTTGATCACAAAACGGATCTAGGCGTTTAAGGTTTAGGGGTTTTAGGGGTTTAGGGGTTTAGGGGTTTTAGGGTTTTAGGATTTTAGGGTTTTAGGGTTTTCGGGTTTTAGGGTGTTAGGGGTTTAGGGTTCTAGGGTTTTAGGGAGTGTCGCTAGGATTCAGGGTTGGGGGTTCCAGCGTTGGGAATTTGCGCGGTATCTAGCCCTAGACCCTAAACCAGTTGACAGGGTTTAGGCACCGGGGCTCTAGCTTGAGGCCTGCGCGTTTGTGGTCTTAAGGGTTTGGGGTTACGGGGCTTGGGGTTTCTCTGCATCTAGGCGTCGTTTTGGGCACCCTGTATGATATGTAAGGCTCCGTATTATAGTCGGATCTCCAAGAATTGAGGTTTAGGGTCAGGATTCTAGGCTTGTGGTGGTTCCCAAGCCGAAACGCCTCTCTTCACTCCCAAGAGGTGATAACCTACAGTTCTGCAATCAGCGCGTGCGGCCGAGGTTTGTGGATTGCAGTGGTTGGGGCTCAGGGTTCAGAGTTTCGGGTTCCGGGTGCGTGGAGCACTGGCTGGGATGAAGGGATCTTCTGAAGCTCTTGGCTTCGGTGTTTTAGGGCTTTGAGGGCTGAATCCTTCAGGGCCTTGAAGTGTAGTTCGCGTCTAAGGGTTGTGGGTATACAAGGTCTCGAGCCCCTCGAACCCAAAACCCAAGTTCTTCCTCTTCATTAGTGCTGTATGTTTTCTCCCTACCTTGGGGACGGGATGAACCTGAACCTTGGGTGTCCTCTACCCTATACTACTACAATTTCTTATGAAAGCATGTGAGCGATAAACCCTTTTAGGGCTCATTTTCCCCCAAGAGAAGCCTGCCTTTTCAAGACATGTGCTTGGCATTCTAGGGCACTCCGTTCGTCGGTTACACTCATGCATGTGGCATACGTACTTACTGGGAGTTGCTTGCATCTCCTTCTTGTACTAGCGGTCCTCAACAGGGATTCTAATGGGGGGGGGGGGGGGGGGGGGTGGTTTCCCTAAACCCTAAGCCTAAACCCTAAACCCCAAACCCCAAACCCTAAACCCTAATTAGGAAGCTTCCCCGGGCCCCAAGGGGCTCAGGAGCCGGAAGAGCTGCTAATGTACCCTTGAGGGTCGTAGTAGATTAGGGTTTAGGGTTTAGGGTTTAGGGTTTCGGGTTTCGGGCTTAAGGTTTTTTTCTGGACGCAAAACTTCAAGCCAGGATTTCCTAAACCCCAAGCCCAAAAATCTAAAAACTCATACAACAAGGAAAAACCCCAAATCCCCAAGAGCCCTAAACCTCGGAGGTCAGCAGTGGGAGCTGGCGCTTCAACTCTTAACAGAGTTGAAACACCGGAGCCTCCGAGTGAACATCGTTACCTACAATGCCGCCATCAGCATCTTGACTCAGGGTTTTCGGGTTTAGGGCATATCGAAGGTTTAGGCTTTAAGCTTTAGGCTTCAGGCTGTAGGCTTTAGGCTTTATTCTTTAGGGTTTAGGGTGTAGGGTGTAGGGTTTAGGGTAGAAGGTTTTAGGGTTTAAGCTTTAGGGTTTAGGTTTTGGCGTTTGGGTTGTAGGTTTTGCTTCTCAGAGCGGCGCTCTGAGCTACAACACCCTCGGACCTCTTTGGAGGCGTTTAGGGTTAGGGTTTAGGGTTTCCCTTAAAGAGTCAACACCCTAAACCCTTTTCTTGGGGATCCTGAAACCCAACCCCAAGCTATCCATACGTTGATCGTAGCGGCTGAGATTTTGGGGCGACGAACCCAGCAGGTTTCGGCGTTGATGGTTCGGCAAACTAGCGGACCCTAAACCCTAGACCCCAAACCCTAAACCCTAAACCCTAAAAGTCAGTAGTTCGGTGTGCTGCACATGACGGCACTAGCAGCATGTTGTAGAGAACAGGGTTTTCTTCCAAACGTGGTTTTCCCTGTGCCCCAGCTTCTGAGCTACCCAGCAAAGTCTCAGAACCTTCTGGATGGCTAAAGGGTTTAGGGTTTAGGGTTTAGGGTTGCTTGAACCTTAGCCCTCGGAAGATTCCACGCCGGGCATGACATGCGACATCGGTTCTCGAGAACCTAGACCACACCTTCAACCCCAAACCCGAGCCCTAAGGGTCCATGTACCTATTTGGTATATACGATTATATACTTGTGTCCTAAAGCTACTATACGGGAACCCCTTTAAGGCCGAAATAGGGGGCGGCCATAGTGCCCCTCAACTCATCAGCACCCTATCCCCGCCCACCCCAACAGAGGTGAGAGAGGTGGCGCATTTGGGGCAAAACACCCAAAGCCATGGACTCGGTAAATGCAAGAGCCAAAAAGCACCACAAAGCCAGGCTCCTGCGAGCGAGGGCAGCAGTGGCAGCCCGCACAGGAGTTTTAGGGTTCCAGGGTTTGGGGCTTAAGGGTTTAGGAGGTCAAGGTTCGGGGCGTTTAGGGGTTAAGCTTAGCGGTTTAGGGTTCCGGGTGTTTTGGCTTTCGGCTTGAGGCGTCTCCACGTAAGCTCTTGTTTGTCTCATCTTACGTCCGAGCCCCCAAAGTAAAGCTGCGAATGGATTTTGCAGGGTTTAGATTGTGCGGATTTGGGCTTCACAGGGTCTATTTTTTGGGACCGGGCTTAGGGTGGGGCTGAGGGGTGGGGAAGGTGTCCTTTGTACATAGCCGCCTAGATCAGAGACCCCAACTCTAATCAGCTTCCAAATGTAATATATGCATCTATATATATATATATTTCTTTGTTTAGTTTTTGTTTATAGATATGGTGCAGTGTCGCCCAGTCCACCCTCCCCGCCCCTTCCTCTCTGTGGTTGGGGTGGGTGGGGTTGTTTAGGGTTTAGGTTTTAGGGTTTGCGTGAAAACATGCAAGGTCTGTGAAGCGTCGGAAGGAAGACCCCGAGAGCAGGAAGTACATCAAGGCAGCCAATTGTGCCGAACAAGAGGGACATTTGGCGGGGCCTTGAACATAAGCTCGCCCTAGACACAGCTTGCTAGCAGGAGAGAAACCCGCGATTCATCAGGGTTCCCTGCAGGTGCGTGTACGTCTGGGGCACTGGTGCCCTGTCATGGCAGATCGAGGGCTTAAGTCTCGCTACTCATCCGGTGAAGGATGCCCAGATCGACCAGGACACCCCCGCATCTACCTGGATCTGCCGCCGCAGGACGCTCTGCTGAAGGAGTTTCATAGCAGACTTATGAAGCTGCGCGGGCTGCAATTTCTCTGAGATGGCGACGGCGGTGGCAGAGCGCACAAGCAAGGCTAGCAGGACGGGCGAGAAGCCCTCTGAATGATACAAAGGGGAAGTAGAGACTGGTCCGTGCGCAGTGCCAGCGGCCACGGAACTTGCGCCAGAAGCGCGGCCGCGGTTGCTGGCCAGTCAAGGGCCGCGTGCGTCTCCAGCAATCTGCGGCATGGGTCAGGAGGGAGTCAGTCTTTGGGTTTAGGGGTTTGGGGTTTGGGTTTTAGGTCGGGATAATTACCCAGGGCGGGGGAGGGGGGGAGACTTGTTGACACAGCGACACAGAACCATATTACATTTATAAATGCAGGTATAGGTTTTATAGGGTTTAGGGTTACTGGTTTAGGGTGTATATATGTGTATATACCCAGACATCATGGTACCCATCAACCCACCGTCCTGACTCCACAATCCCCACTGCAGGAACTTAAACGAATGAACGCCTCGAAGCCTAAACCCGAAACCCTAACCCCACCCCCGCCCCCTGCCCACCCAGCTGCCCTTAAACCCACAAAACAGAAACGCACACCAGAGGTGTGTCGAGCCACTCCCCTCCTTGGAGGGCTCTTCGGGCATTTTTCAGCCCTCAACCCTAAACCGTTAGCCTAAACCCCTACACCTACGCCCTAAACCCTAAACCCCCTAAACCCTAAACCCTAAACCCAATAAAAATAACCAACAGCTAAGCACTAAGCCAGGAACTTCTGGCCCAACTAGGGCGCTATTGTCTGTGGCCCGGCTGCATGGAGAACCCAGGGTGTTACCCAAAGAATCCCAAACCTTCCTGTATTTAGGATTTTGCAGGTTTAGGGCTTTGGGGCGTTAAGGATATTACGAATCCTCGTGTAGTTGAAGGGCTATTCCCATGACGAGGTGCTCGATCTCTGGAGTAGGGCTTGCCTAGGACTTTTGGGGTTCAGGGCTGGGATTCTAGGGGTTTGGTCCAGGAAGGCATCTTTGCACTGGCCTGGGATTTTGCTCTGAAGTCTCTCGACTCAAACGGCTGGAGGGTACGTAGGTATGCAAGGCTCTCGGCAGTTGTCTAAACTGTGTGCTCAACAAGCTACCCCCCCCCGCCCATGAAGTTAATGACCTACCCGATGACCCTAGTTAAGCCCGACGCATCCCGACGCTCAACCGTAAAGATCTGCAAACAATAATTAGGCCTTAAACCCCAAAGACCAGCTCCCAAATGTGGACCCTTGCCCCAAATTTGGACCCTCGCCCACGAAACTTGGGCAAACAATTTGACGAAGTTTGGACCCTTACTCACGAAATCTCGCGGGAGATTGCCAGGGTACTTATAACCCAGATCAGATATAACCCACCTTTGTGCCCCTTAGGTACCCTAAGAGGGTTTTTTTTGCGATCTGAATACACTTGTACTTGGGTTACTAAGTACCATGAGCCTCCAAGTAGGGATTAGGATCTAGGCTTTAGGGTTTAGGAGGGTTTCCGACACCGTACTGAAATCCCCGCCCGACCATTAACGCCGTCTCCCCTGGCTTATTGGCCGTGCACCTTAACTCTAAGGACCCCCGCTGTATTTAGCTTATGTTCTGAATGAAGTGGAGTTGGGCTTTCTGGGAAGACCCTTGGTCTGGCGGCTGCGTATTTCTCTGTTGCTTGCCTTGACTTGAGATGCTGAACCCTAAGCCGTAAGCCCCAAGCCCTAAGCCCGAAATCCCACCAGCATGAGGCAAAGTACAGCATTTGGCTTCACTCCTGCGATGGCGTGCGAGACCCTAGATCAAGACCTAGGACTCGTTTGACCTTCGGCTGTGTTTAGGGTTCAGGGTTCAGGGTTTTTTGGGGTTCAGGGTCTCCTGGAGCAGCCAAAATTGCTTAAACAGGGGTTCTTACCCAAGGTTCCCTAGTACCCCCTAAGCTTCCCCAGGGTTCCCTATAGGTACCGACCCCCCATGAAGCTCCCTCCCTTAAGAACCCTAGAAGTCTCGTTTTTCCGACCCCCCATGAAGCCCCCTCCCTTAAGAACCCTAGAAGTCTCGTTTTTTCAAGGCATCGGTTGCAGTAGTAGGTAGGGCGCGTTGGACGTTCGGATTAGTAGGTATACGGGTTTTTCTCCAGATAGGCGCTCAAACCGGGTATCGCGTTTTGTTCCTTGCTATTTTCTTTCTCCTTACTGTACTTGTTAGGGGCGGAATGCTGGGGAGCGGATTCTCCGCGGATTTTTGCGCAAGGCCCCGCGGATTTTCTCGCGTGTTTTCTTGCGGATTTTCTTGCGGATTCCCTCGCGGATTTCGCGCGGATTTTTCTTAATACTTGTTTTCCTCTTTGAAAAATCCCCGCCGAAATCAACGCAAAAATCCTGTGCGACGTCAGCCCCGACGTCAGCCAACACATCCACGCGCCGGAACATCGAAAAATATTCCCGCAAAGTTTGCCCAGATCTTTAGTGCCAATACTTGCTCTTCTTATTCTTCTTGTTGAGGGTTTCGGTGTTATTTTGTGAAGTGGGTCGTGGGATGTCCAGGCATACAGTACAACTTCGACCTGTATTGTGGAGGGTCGAATTGAGCTATGAGCCCTTTCTATGTGTTCAGGCTCGCGAAGTTAGGGTGGTGTCAGGAAACCTTCCTCTTCCCCCAAACCCTAAACCCAGGCCTGGGCTCATGTTAAGGCACTTCTACTTCTCGAGAACAGGGACCCTTAAGCCCCAAACCCCAAGCCCTAACGCCCTAAACCCCAAGCCCTAAACCCCACACCCTAAACCCTACATCGTTTGCCTAAACCCCAAACCCCAAACCCCAAACCCCAAACCCCGAAGGGCCCCCACAAAAGAAGCCAAGAGCCTGAAAGTCCCACGGAGCGCCTCAAGGAGCTTGTGGAGTTCTTAAGGGAGGGGGAAGGTTCCCTAATACTCCCCACTACTCCCTAAGGCTCCTTAAGCTCCCCTAAGGTTCCTTAGCTACCCTAAACCCTAAACGCTAAACGCTAAACCCTAAACCCTAAACCCTGAACCCTGAACCCTGAACCCTAAACCCTAAACCCTAACTAAACCCTGAACCCCCCGCCCCCCTCCCTTGAAAGAACCCCATAAGGAGCTGGTCGCAAGCCTTACGAACCTGGGGGATGCCTGGCACGCAGGAGTAGTAGGCCTCTTGGGTTTAGGGTTTAGGGTTTAGGGCAGTTGAATCGTGTAGCTTATTATTCCCCACCTTTGGTGTTGGACTGTTAGATGTTGCGCTCAACTCTTCTCCTCGCCCGGAATTCTTCTCCTCGCGCGGTCTACTCCTCTGGAGTGCCCAACACCAGAGTGTCCTTGAAGTGCCCGCCCCAGTTGCCAGCACATAATTATTAAGAAAGCGTATTTAATTTGAATCAATGTGCCCCTTGTTTAAGCAACTTATTTGTGTTCTTTCTTTTTAACGAGGATCAAGGCAGTGATGTTCGAAGTACAGTAATTGTTTTGAATGATATATCGAAGCATATATATATACATATGCACACTTATTATGTAATCTGCAATTAGGTTGCTTCTTCTTCTGATTCTTCTTCTTCTTCTGATTCTTCGTCTGCTTCTTCTTCTTCTTCTTCTTCTTCTGCTTCTTCTTCTTCTGCTTCTTCTTCTGCTTCTTAATACCTACACACATATGTACATGAAATATCAATTTTAATGTATTGTGTTGTGAGAAGGCCCTTAGTGTCTATTTTGCGCCTCCTTTTGCTTGCGAGAGTTGTTGTATTTACTTCGCTAACATCATTAACAAAGTGGCCTGGCTGGAATCCAGGATTCCAGCCCACTTAGTTGAATTGAACTGATGATGTTTTTGACTAATTGAATTAGTTAATTTATACGTGACTTCAATTAGAGTAATTGAGTTATTACTCGAATTATATTTCAATCCGAAAAGCCAGTTTTGCGATTCAATTTGGAAAATTAACTTGATTGCCTTGGGTGCCTTGGCTGAAATCCAGGACTCCTGGCCAATTAAATTTGCTTTACATGCTTGAGCTAGGGCCCGGGTTGCCGTCCTGTAAACCGCACGATTTTTGTGTTGGGTGGGGTGGGGTGGGGAGGGTAGCGTGCGGACCCTACTTTTGCAACCTCGAGTAGTACTTATTCCCTTGAAATGCCTCCTTTGTGCCCTTCAGGTTTAGGGCGTCTTTTTTTCGAGGTTTGGGGTTTGCCGGGTTTGGGGCTTCGGGTCCAGGCTTTGAGCACTGGATTGTCCTCTTATCGTCTTCAAGAGGTTTGCCCTAATTTAATGGGTTTAGGTAGGGTTTAGGGTTTAGGGTCTAGGTTTCAAGGACTTTTTTCTCCCTTATTGTCTTCAGGAGGATCCTAGCTGGGTTTGGGCTTGAGGGTCTAGGCCGTCAGGACACTTTAATTGTTGGGCTTTGCCCATTCCTCAAACCTACGTCCGCCGGTTTCAAAACGCGAAGATCTGAATGCCCCAGACCATCAACAGGAACACCAGACCCGGCAACATCTTCAAAAAGACAAACAAGAAACAACAACAAATACAGGCGTTTGCTTTTGAAAACAACCGATATTTGGCCCCGAACGCACGACGACACTCTGCATGCCAGCGATTTCGCTCCTTGCGACCTCATTTCGCAGATCTTGTGCTGTGACACCTGTGCGTGTGCAAACTCAACAGAACACATGTTTAAGATCTGGATGCCGTGCACAATGTGCATTGGCCATGGGAAAAGCACATCAAACAGAATAAAACATTCAACGCGCGGGATTGTAAGCCATGCGGCGGGATGTGTTGACTAACTTCAGTCGCGTTCATGAATTTAAGAAGTCCACCCTAATTTATCTGGTTTGTGCGACCTTAATTATCTCACAACACGGGCCCAAATCCAGGTGCCTTGAGGCTTCCGGAGTGGAGGTCGGTGCGACAGCTGTCGGGGCGGCGCTGAGTGCTTGCGAAGGACAACCCTCCCTCCATCCCCACCCCCCGGCCCCCGCCCGCCACTGCTTCGGTTTCGGGTCTATAGGATTCAAGGTTCCTAAACCCTAAACCCTAAACCCTAAGCCCCGATCTCTCCAAGGCTACCGGGATGATCTAGCAGGTCACTTGGAGGAAGCCCTCTAAACCCGAAATCCGAAACCCTCAACTCCATAAACTCTCTACATCCGAAACCCTAAACCCTAAACCCTAAACCCTAAACCTTAAGCCCTAAACAACCCTGAGCCCAAAAGCCCCAAGTCTAGGCGGAAGCCAATGGACTCCTGCACTTCACTGTTTGCACAGGCCGGCCGTCGTCTGTTTACGGTTTAGGGTTTAGGGTTTCGGGTTTAGGGTTAACTTGCCCCTTACCGAACTTCCGTAGAAAATTTGGGCGCTGCAGCCCAAAACCAGGCTTTAGTTATGTGGCTCTGAACGCTTCAGCCCTGAATCCTATATCCCTGTCATGACAATTCTCTAAACCCCAAAAATCCCCAGACCACGACACCCTTTCATTAAAAAAAAAAAAACGCCCACCCCTAAATCATCATAAACCCTAAGCCCTAAGCCCTAAACCCTAAACCCTAAACCCTAAACCCTAAACCCTAAACCCTAAACCCTAAACCCTAAACCCAAAAACCAAATCCCCCAGAAGCCAGCATCAGGCTAGGGGAGCTACACCTGCGTCGTGACGAGGTGGGCTGAGGGCGGTGTGGGCTCAGGGTTTGGGGTTTACGGTTTAGGGCTTCAGGACTTGTAAGGTTCATCCTGAGACACATCCCTAAACCCTAAACCCTAAATCGGGGCTTGTGCAGCCTTTCTTGGACTTGGCTTTGACTTTTCTGGTAGTTTTTTGCTGCTGCCTATGGGTTTCAGAGTTCGATTTTTCCTTTGTGGCCGATGTGGCCGTTTAGTCTTTGTTCCATGTTTTGCCCTAAGGGTCCATGTACCAAACTAGGGAATACTTGGGCCTTAAAGACTTAAAGTACTTCCTATTTAGGGACTTTGGGGCCCAAGTATATAATAATAAAGTACATGGACCCTTAGGGTTGGTGGGAACAGCCTGGCAGCCGTAAGGTGCTCATGACATCTGCCACGGCCGCGTTCCAGAAGTGTTCACGCTGGCAAGCCGCACTAGGCCACTGTGGCGGGAGAAGGGGGGGGTGTCCAGTGCTAAGGTTTCAGTTTTGGGTTTAGGGGAGGGTTTGGGGTTTGGGGTTTGGGGTTTGGGGTTTGGGGTTTAGGGTTTAGGGGAGGGTTAAGGGTTGAGGGTTTAGGGTTGGGGTAGGCTCTAAGCTGACAGCGCTGGATATTTCTAAGGCCCTCAGACATAGGACCTCCCTCGCCCTCTCTTTCCTTCAAAATCCGAAACCCAACACGCCCCAAAACTCATAAACACAGTCCTCCTAGGCCCTAAGCCCTAAACCCTAAACCCCAAAACCCTAAACTCCCCATCTCCTGAACCTCCAGCGCCAGGCCTTTTGCCAGAGCTCGGTGGCCCAGAAACCCTTTCCTTGTGCTTCGGGACTGCCCTCAGCTCAACCACCAAGGCGGGGTAAGTTTAGGGTTTGGGGGTTTTTAGGGTTTGGGAGGTTTAGGGTTTGCAGGGTTTAGGGTTTTTGTGGGGGGGGGGGGGGGGGGGGGGGGGGGGGCGAGGGTTAGGGTGTGGAGGGTTTTAGGGTTTGGGGGTTTTAGGGTTTGGTGGTTTAGGGTTTGGAGGGTGTAGGGCTTTGGGGGGCTTAGGAGTTGGGGTTTAGGGTGTAGGGGTTCTATGGTTTAAGGTTTTGTGGTTTTGGGGGGTTTAGGGTTTGGGGTTTAAGGTGTTGTTTTCTATTATTTAAAGTTTTTTTCAGGGTCTTGGGGCTTTAGGGTTTTAGGGGATCAGGGAGTAGGGGTTTAGGGTGTGGAGGTTTCATGGTTTATGGTTTTGGGGAGTTAGGGCTTGGGGTTTAGGATTGGAAGTTCAGGGTTTTGTTCAGGATTGAGGATTTGGGGTTTAGGGTGTAGGGGTTTGTTGTTTAGTGTTTGAGGGTTTGGGGTTTGGGGGTTTATGGTTTTGAAATTTAGGGTTTAGGGCGTCTCGCCGAGCAGCGCATCTGGAAATGTGGGGGGATGGCAGATAATGCGAAGGCACATATGCCCAATGCAGCCCAACAATTGTTCAGAAGTGCTCGGTTTGTTGCCCCCTGCCGTGAGCTTTCACAGACCACCACCCCAAAACCGTTGCCTTTTAGGGTTTAGGGCTGTCGCCTTCAACTCCCACCATGAAGAACGCTTCAGAGTTCGAACCCACGTTCAATACATCTCAGAGGAGGGGTCGGAGGGTCAGGGGGGCCCCGTGCTTTGGGGTTTAGGGGTTCAGGGTTTGGCATCCAGGGTTTGCGTTTTAGGGTGTAGGGGTTTGATGGTTTGGGGTTTTTGGGGGTTTGGGGTTTGGGGGGGGGGGCGGGGGGCATTAGTTTCCGGTTTAGGTGTTTGGGGCTGTGGGGGGGGCCACTTGAAGGTTCATGCATAGGGTTCCACGGCTCGGTGTTTTGCCCAACCCTCAACAAAACCTCCAGAACCCTAACTAAGCCCTCAATTCTTAACCCGAACTCTGAACCCCTAAAACCCTTTAACACCCTCAACGCCCTCAACACTCTAAACCCTCTCCCGCCCTAAACCCTAAATTGAAAAAAGTCCTAAACCCTACCTAAGCCCTAAACCCTATCCCACCCTAAACCCTAAACCCTACTGCTGAACCATATCTTGTGTCGCATGTGGTATATCTTCAGGTTGTTGCATGGGCCCTTATTCTGGTTCCTTACCTCCTTTAAAGGGTTCTGAAGTATGGGCCCTTGGATTGTATAGGGTGTGTATCGGGTACATAAAGGTGCCCTTTCTAAGGGCCCATACCACGGGACCACGGAACCCAAAATCCCAAACCCTAAGCCCCAAACCCCAAACCCAAAACCCCAAACCCTAAACCCTGAACCCGAAACTAAACGTCCAGACCCAGTGCCGCCAGTGTGTGGACCTGTTCAGGCGGAACTATGGAAGCTGGCGCTGCACTTGCTTCCCGAAAGCAATCTACGTACCATATCGGGTTTAGGGTTTAGGATTTAGGGTGTAGGGTGTAGGGTTTAGGGCTACTAGTTCTTAAGACGTTTACGGTTTAGGGTTACTAGTTCTTAAGACCATATTCCCTGAAGT